GAGCGGCTCGCCTCCTAACCCTCCTTCGGCCAGGAGGAGGAGCAGCGGCGGCAGCGGCGGCAGCAGGCGACGGCTGCCCCGCGGAGGGAGCGCGGGCGGGGAGGTGCGCGGCCGCCCGGGATGCTCCCCGGCACCTCCTGACCGGCGGGCAGCGCGCACTCGGCGGCACCCGCACGCCCCGGGCCCTCGCCGGCTGCCGGGCTCCCTGGCTCGCGCGGGCCCGCTCTGCGTCGACCGCGCCGCGGTGCGGGCGCGGGGAGGGGGCCGCGGCCAGGGATGAGCTGATTGCGGGTAAATACGCCGCCGACGGGCCCGAGAGGCCGTGAGGAGCAGCCTTTCTGCGGGTCGCCGCCCTGCCCTTGGATCGGAGATCATGTACGTACCCGTCGCGGTCCTGCCATTGTCTGTCCCTCAGCGCGCGCGCGCGCGTGTGTGTGTGCGCCCCTGGACCGGGGGCTCCGGGCCGTCCCCGCGGCCCCCCGCGCTCCCCGCGCTGACCACGCGCCCCTTCTCCCCCGCGCCCTCCTCTCTGTCGTGCAGGTCCATTCACATCGTGGCGCTGGGGAACGAGGGGGACTCGTTTCACCAGGACAGTCGGCCGTCGGGGCTCATCCGCACTTACCTGGGGAGGAGCCCGCTGGTCTCCGGGGACGAAAGCAGCTTGTTGCTGAACGCGACCAGCACGGTCGCGCGCCCCGTGTTCACCGAGTATCAGGCCAGCGCGTTTGGAAACGTCAAGCTGGTGGTCCACGACTGTCCCGTCTGGGTAAGGGGCTGCAGCCGCCCTGTGCCGAAGCCGGCGGAACTTTCCTTTTTTTCTTTTTCCTTCTTCCGCCCCCCTTTTCCCCTTTCTCATGAATGTCAAGGGTCCGGGTCACCTGGGTGGAGTGTTCGAACATTGTTGGGAAAAATCTTTGGTGCTTTGATTCATCGGGCAGAAGGCAGCCCAGAGAACACACTCTTAGAAGGCAGAAAGCCCCAGTGGGAAAGTGGAGCGCTTACACTTCACGACTGGGGTTGTTCCTTGGTAGACGCTGACAGTTGAATATGCCAGCCCCAAGGGACGGGGTCACTAGGTTTCACCAGCAGAGAGCAGTGTGCAGTGTGTGTGTGCGTGTGTGCGTGTGTGCGTGTGTGCATGCCTACGCTTTGAGTGATAGTGTAATGTTAGTGTTCTAAAAATAAAGCCCTCTGCAAGCTCAACACGAGCAAAAATACATTTCACTGGGCCAGTTCAGAAATAGGACCCCTGGAAAGGAGGGGAAAAGACAGGGAATGAGAATTTTAAAGAACTCATTTATATGACTGGCCTGCCTTTGACATTTTTTAATTAGTGGTTTGAATTTTAATAATGTAGATACTCTTGCCCTAGTAGGCATTTGTTTTTAGTGAGTCATACATCAGAAATGATATTACGAATACAGCTTTAAAAAGCTTTAAAATGTGCACGAATTGACAGACGTTGTAATGAAGACGATGAATTCTAGTCTAATTCCTGAGTGTTTGATAAAAGGAGAAAGGACTCTACTCCCTGACACATATAAATGTTTTCAGTACACAATAACATCGTATTTTGAATGTTTTCATTTAATCTTATTTGAAAATGTCTGGTTCTTGACTGGCATTGGAGTTATATTGCTGCTAAACATTGTACTTTGTAACAGAAGAAAGTTTAGTGTCGTCTGAAAAAGAAAATACAAATTATCAAATGAGATTTTACATTTAAACAGCAATGTTTAAAACTGAATTAGGGCCTATAGGGAACTAATTAATATAGCTTTCTAAAGAAATGTATAGAATGTACATAGAAAATTTTCTTATGCAGGTTTCCATATTATGGAAGGAAAAGATCACTTGCCCACATAAATTTTCAGTCGAAGGAAATTTATGTTAATATGCTAAAATAAATGAAAAACAGGCTTTTTAATAACAGGGATGCTATTAAACTCCTAGTGAATGATAGTGATGATGCTGATCATAAGAAGCATTGGTAGATAATTTATTGGCTGGAGTCCATTCAAACAAACAAAACACTTATTTTAACTTTGGTCATTTCACTGTGATCGATCTTAAAGCCTAAAAACGTATTGGTTTTACACAAAGTTGAACATTGAGTGAATAGAGGAAATAATAGCAGGGAAAAGAACATAAGCTGAATTAGGATGTTGGGGTTATTTTTTACACTTTTTTCTTTGAGCTGCTGAGTCTCCTTTATGTTGTTAATTTAGCAAAAAGCAATACTTGTGATCCCATATATTATAATAATTGAATCTTCCAAATAGGTTAAAATAAGCCTTGGTAGTTTAGAGTTTTGCCATATACTGATTGTTATGTTTTAATGCTAATCACCTTTTGTTGGTTAGACTCTGGCCCTATTTAAGGCAAAGAGTGTAACCAGGTATCATTTTCTAGGTTATAATGGTCTTCAGACATAGAATACATTTGTAAAGTTACTCTTTATAAGGTGCTTTTCTTGGTGGTGAGTAAAAGTCCATCAGAGATATCAAAGTTGATTGTACTCATCAGCTGATATTTGACATGTACTGAGTCAATACAGCAGAGCAGATAGAGCACAGGTTTTGATATCAAAAGGACCTGATTTCAGATCCCAACATTGCTACTTAGTGGCTGTGTTCGTTGGTAAATCACTTGTACTCTCTCAGCCTTATTTTCTCTATGTATAAAATAAACATAATAATCCCTGCTTCCTAGAGCTGTGCTGAAAAATAAATGAGGTAGTACATATAAAGTATTTAATATAGAGGCAGGCATGTAATAGGTACTTAATAAATGGTAGCTACTATAATAATGGAGTATTTATTACAACTTTAGTATAGCCATATATCACTTAGGCTACGCAAAAGTAAAGTTTTCCCACACACCATTCAAGGTTTATACAAATACAGTACATTGAGGTGGCAATTTTAGTACTTAGTAGGTTTGTATTTGCAACTCCAGTAGAGTAAAATTGTTGTTTTGTTGTAAAAACTCACATTATTTTTTTAAAAGATGAGTTTTATTCTCCAAATGTGGCTGCAAGCCTTGTGTTGCATAATCTCTTAGAGGAAATCCTGGAACTGATTTACCAGGGGTGGGAGAATTTGATTTCCTTCGTATTTCTAGAAACCAGTGGAGCATTTTGTCTTTGACATAGTTTGAGAAGAAGTGTGATGTTGTTTTCTTGGAATTGGAATGCGATAATTGTGCTTCTCTTTTCTAGTTTTATTCTGTGGATCTGTAGCCTCACTTCTGGAGCTTTGCTGTAAACTTGGCCCTTTTTAAATAAACGTGCTTCAAATTTCTTTTTATGTAGCTCATTCTTTAGTATATGTCTCTCTCAAACCCACCCATTTTTTGTGCAGCTATATTATTATTTCATTTCTAGATCTTTTCTTGTTTACCAAAAATATTGCACAAGAAGCAGTGAGGTAATGTATGCACAGGGTTTGAAGCTCTGACTTGTATTAAAAATAAAGTTATTTTTAAGTCTTTATAGCCTCAATACCACAGTGTTAATGATGCCCAAACCCATTTTCTCATGAAGTTTTCCCTTAAATGTTCCCTTTTCCCCTCCCCCCATACACCTCTCCAGTCACTCTGGAATTTTGAACTATTTTGGAATACAAAGAGCAGTAACTTTTGATTCCTTCTCTCAGAGTTAAATGGCTGCTTATATGGGTCCCACTTTTGTTGTTGTAACCCATTCCTCTGAAGTTGTCCTTTTTCTTTTTTATACTTATACACCTTGTTATACTTATACACTTTGAACTTGAATACTGTAACAAATACAGTTGGACCTGAATGGGTTTTGTGGTTTGGGATTTGGAAATTAGTGTCGAGCTCTTCTGGGAAGCTTTCGCATATCCTTGATCTGTGCCCCACTTCACTTCTTCCTACTCTTACACTCTCTGCTAAGTGCAAGACTGTGTACTTTATAGTCCCATAGTTTGCCCTTCTTTTGTTGTTGTTCTTTTCATCTTCCTTTAAAAATGCTTTGTCCATCTACTTTCAGCAGGGTATTCATGTCTAAAAATTCTGTCATTCTTGTTACTCTGAGTGTACTTGTAGGAAGTGGGTGGGTTGGGAAGATATAGGGAATTGGGAGAGGCTGTGCTGGGGCTGGCGAGGTACTAATGAAAAGAGGCTCTCTCTGCAAAAGGGCATTGATGTATAACACCTCTCCAGAATATTCCATCATAGGATAAAAGCTCTGTCACATGTACGTGGATCTTGATTGATTGATTCAAACACTACTGACCCTGTTTTAACGTGTAAACTTACATAGCTCCACAGTTTTTGGAACCATTATCCACATCTAGCTGTGTATTTTCTTTTTTGGGGGGTGGGGTGGTATGTGTTCCAATAAGTCTATATTCACAAAAAACAGGCTTTGGGTCAGATTTGCCCGATAGCTATTTTCTTAATCTAGTTTATTACATTCTAGAAATACATACTAAAGGCCATGTGAAAGGACAAATAATGATTAATAGTTAACTAGACTATGAGTAGAAAGCTATTATGCATATTTAGCAGTGGTATTAAGATACATAAAGATAATTTTCCTTATACCATTATTCACACAAAAATTTTGAAAAATTATTTTTAAAATATTAAAGCACTAAATTTTAAGGCATAGGATTCCCTAATAAATTACTTTTGGCTCCAATTCTAAATATAAATATTATTAACTGTAACCCAAAAATAAAGATTTCAAAATCAGAAAGATTTATATGAGCAAAATACATGAATTGCAAATATATTTCCTACCATGTAAGCACCCTATAATACTCGGTATCTTTTTATTGAGGTGCCCCTCCACCATGTACATGATGTATGCAGTGCTGTCCACAGCTTTATGTATCATAAAGTTGAAAAGTATAAATGAATTTTGAAAATATAGATAAAATATATGGAACTCCACAGAATTCACAGTGTATTACAATTCAAAACACTGAACAATCCATAACTGGGTCACAGAAAATCCTTTGATTCTTCCTTCATACTGATGCTTTTATATCTAATGTATAGTGTTACATTTTTGAAATTATTAGGTGATATTAAAAATAAGGCATAGTTTTAAAACATAATGCTTAGTTTTTAATATGAATATTGAAAGAGGTTGTTTCTTTTGTCAGACTCTCAGGAATTCTCTAGGTCTTCTATTTAGCCACTGCATAGTGGTCTAGGCTAAATGAATAAACAAAAGTGAAAAAAAAGTAAGTAGGCTTTAAAGAGTTTAAATTTTATGTAGTTACCGTTGTAAAATAAAATTTTTTTATGAATTTCCAAAAGTTAAAATATAGCAAAAAATTTAAACTAATATGTTATAATTTATTTCTTATTGATTTGTAGATAGACTAAAGATTGTTCTTTGCATTTTGGTTTAGGACATTTTTGACAGTGATTGGTACACCTCTCGAAATTTAATCGGTGGTGCTGACATCATTGTAATCAAATACAACGTAAATGACAAGTTTTCATTCCACGAAGTGAAGGATAATTATATTCCGGTGATAAAAAGAGCATTAAACTCAGTTCCAGTAATCATTGCTGCTGTTGGTACCAGACAAAATGGTAAGTATTTAATTTTCTTTTTTTTTATTGAGAGTGCAGGTACCAAATTAATTCTAAATAGAACTGTTTATTAATGATTAATATGGTGTATTTTTTAAAAAGAAAACAAAATAACTGGATTCAAATGCCAACTGTTATTTCTTTATCTTTGGATAGTATAACAAGGTATTAAAGGAAAATATTGCAAACTTCTGCTGTGATTGTGATGGGTACAACTTTGTCTTCTAAATTGTACTTCTACAGAAGTGAAGGAAGGCAATAACTGTTTTCTTCTGACACAGGCACAGTATTAGGTGATGCGGAGCCCTGGAAACCTGTTCTTGACAATCTAAAGGTCTATCCAGTTGGGAAGGGTTGATTGTCCATATAAGGGTGTGGGCTTGGGAGCAGGGATTTTAGATAGATAGCAATGAGTGAGCTGAATACACTGACAACACTGCCTAAGAGGGAGGCTTGCTCACTCTGTAGCTGGTGGATTAAGTTGGTTCAGTTTCTGTAGTTGCTGGTATACATATTATTGTCAAATATATCAGGGCCAACTCAAAATGCATTTGGTGGTATTTTATAGTTCTTTTTAGTGGTATTTCCTCAGTAAAGCTTCTTATAACATTTCATTTATCATTTATTATTATTATTTTACTTTTTATTGAGGGATAGCAACATAAAAAAACATAAAGTTAATGCATTTTATGTATGTATACATCCATGCAACCATCATACAGATCAAGGTAGAACATTTGCAGCATTTTAGAAGGTTCCCTCATGCCTCTTCCCACTTAATAACACCCCTCCCTAGAGGTAACCACTATTCTGACTTTTAACAACATAGATTAGTTTTACCTATTCTTGGACTTGATACAAATGGAATTATACAGTATGTAGTGTCTGGTGTCTAATTTCAGTTAGCATAATACTTTTGAGATCATCTGTGTTGTGCTTACCTATACTTCATTCTTTTTATTGCTGCATATTATTCCATTGTATGAATATGCTGAAATTTATTTATCCATTCTCACTTCGACGTTGCTTACGTTGTTATCTAAGGATTGTTGGGTCATCAGGTAGGTATATGAGTAGCATTAGTAGATGCAAATAAAGCAGACTTGACCCTTCCTTGACCCCACATCCCTTCTCTTTTCCTGTCTTTCTCTTTATTGCTGGCCATGATTATTGAAAGTGCCCTCCAAACTTCCTGAGTCCACTTCCTAACTTCCCATTCGTTCTTCAGTGCACTACAGTCTGATTTTGACTTTTACAGTTACACTCAATTCATTCTCACTCAGGGTTACCAGGTTATATGCTTATTGCCAAATTGAATACATTTTAATAAAAATTCTCTCTTTGAAATTATTCAAACATTCCTCTTTTTTAAATTAAAGTTTATTGGGGTGACAATTGTTAGTCAAGTTACATAGGTTTCAGGTGTACAATTCTGTAACTTCCTCCTAATAAAGCTACTCTTTCTTTCCCAGTTGTCCTAATTCTCTGTTCTCTTTACTGTCCCCCAACCCTGCCACCTTACACACATATACAAACATATCCTGTAGCTGTTGCTCAAAGTTCCATACTTCAATTTCACCTCTTCTTGCTGTCTGCTCTCACTGTGAGCCCGCTAATCGCTTGCCCTTGCTTGTGCTTTATAGAGACTGATGATTACCCAGTCTGGTCTGTGGCTCCAGTCTCTGTCGTGACCCACACAGCTCCACAGACAGCTTCCTCTCTCTACTGAATTCTCTATCTTGGTGAATGATGCCAAACTTATCTATTCACCCAAACTAGACTTATCAACCTAGCTTCCTCTCCCATACCCCACAGCTGGTTGATGAAGAATTTCTTTCGAGTTAACATTTTTAAGTAAATCTCAAACTGTTTTCTCTATATCTACACTGGATTTCAGATTCTGGTCATTTAATTACCTGTCATGGTGGCCTTCTTTTTGGTCTCCTGAAGGGGCAGTTCCAGATTTTATAGGACCTAAAACTTATAAAATTTGAAATGTTCTATGTAAGGGGAAAAAATTAAATTACAGATATGTATATGTACAAAAGTGAATATTTATTTAGAAAGAGAAAAGAAAGCACAAGAAACTACAAATCTGAAAAAACTGTCAAATGCCGCAAGTATTTTTTTAAAATGCTTCTATTATTTAACAGCTTGATACTTCTTTAACTTTTCTTCAATTTTGGGGGGCTGCATAGCCTTTGAGCACCTCTTCATATGCTAACCACTTTTTAAGGTTTTCTATAGAGAGAAGAAAACGATAATCAGTTATTCTTCTAGCATATTTCTTTACTCTCCATATTGGTTCTGGGCCCCACAGTTTGTGTTGTGTTTGTCTTCCAGCTTGGCATCTTTGTGTCATGACACCAAATAAATTAGCACAGTGGTGGCAGAAACATTCCTGAAGGCCATTCATATACCAGGACACTTCACTGTACAAGGAAGTGACTGCAGACCACGAATGATACCTCACTAAACCTAAATTTAAATTCCTCTTAGCACAATCCTCCAAATGTCCCTGGTTACTTTAGAGCTGCCTGACAAAAGGTGAAGTAAGTTGCAGTGGAAAGAGATAGTGTTCTTAATCAAATGTAGTGAAACTATCTTATTTTACAAATTTTACCAAAGCATATGACCATTGGAAAGAATCTGTTGCTCAGGTTCACAAGAAAAGGGCCTGAAGCTTAAGCTTTCTCAGCATCATGGTAAATTGGCCTCTAGTCTCCTGTTCTGCTTTGCCTCTTTCTGAAATAAATCAGATCATGATAATCATCCTAAAATACAAATCAGATCATGATTCTCAATACTTTAAATTCTTTAGAAACTTTCTTCTTTTTCCGTAACTTTGTTTTGCAAAATTTCAAAGCTAAGAAAATTGACAAGAATGGGACAGTGAACCCTAGAAATTATACACACACACACACACACACACACACACACATACACTTTTCTCGTCTGAACCATTTGAGAGTAAACTGTAAACATTATGGGATTTCTTCAATCCTAATTATTTAAGTCTGCATCATCTAAGAACAAGCCATCCTCCTATTAACTGTAATACAATCATCACTCAAGAAATGTAACTATTATTATCTATTACACTATTATTTAAAATATCCATATTCACATTTTCTCAATTATTCCAAAGCTTTTTTTTTTTTTAACATCCAGAATGACATTAAGGATTACGCATTGCATTTAATTGTCATGTTTTGCTAGTGTTTTTTAATCCGGAACAGATCCCCAGCCTTTTTCGGGGGTGAGGAAGGGAAGGAGGTGTCTTTCATGACATTGGCATTTTTAAAGAATCCAAGCCCAATATTTTGCACAATTCCTTCAGATCTGATAACTGTGGTTGTACAATAGTGATTTTTTTTTATCATTTCTTCACTTATTAGTATTCTTCTGTAAATAGAGCTTTCCCTTCTTTCTGCTCCCATATCTTTCATGGATTTGCTCTTTAAATTCAGTATTTTAAAATATGTTCTTATTATTCTTTCTGATACTCAAATTACCCCAAATTTGCCTGTGGGGGGACTCTTCTCGCTAACTCCAATTAATTTTTGAGTCTTTCCGCTCAAGATGTTCCAGGCTCTCCTTAGACTTTGCCTGCCCCAGCCCTGGAATCAGTCATTTCTTCAGGGAGCCCTGGTACCTTGGATTGAGTAATGATATTTAGAAACCAAGATCTGGGCTCTAGGGGTGTTCATTACTTTAGGTGTCATGCCTTCTCGGCTCTTTCATTGACACCCTTATTCTAATCCGGTATTTTTATGTCACTTAAATAACTTTCTATTGTAAAGTCTTACTTAAGATACAAGATCCTTCATGACATAGCCCCTGACTACTTCTAGAACCTTGTAGGACACAAGACACAATCCCTTGTCTTATGTGCCCATCACACTGAACTACTTGAAGAACTCAGTGTCTTTCTTTAGATCTGAGAGTCTCAACTTCCTGATTTCAGATATTACCTTCCTTCCATTTTTTTCTATTCTCTCCTTTTGGGACTCTTGTTGGACTGAAATGGAAACTTCTGGATCTCTCCTCCATTTCTCGTATCTTTCTTTTACATTTTGTATCGCTTTATTCCCCCCTGTTGCATTATGGGAGAATTTCTTCAACTTTTCTTTCCCCCCAGTTCACAAATTAGTTCTGCTGGGTTCATTTTGCTATTTTGTATTATTAAAATTTTTGTTTGTTTGTTTCAACAGCTTTTCATATCCACAATCTCTAATTGGTTGTTTTTTCATAATTTATTGTTCCTGTTTTAAGGATATAAATACTTTAAAAATGCCCTCTCTTAATTAATTGTACTTATTTTCAGGTTCTGTTTTGATTAGTCTGTTAAGTCTGGTTTTGAGGGTGGCATTATAAGTCTTTCCGTTTGATGAGATTTTATTTCATGGTCTGGATGTTTCTCAAATGTTGGATAATTCTTAATTTGCCTAGTTTTCCACTTGAGATTCCCTGATGGCTGGATGCCTTCCTCCTCCTCTGTCCAGCTGTTCTCTGTAGGGGGGTGGGAGTGGGAGTATGCACAGGATCTGCAAGCCTAGCTGCTTTCCCTGGGGTATTCCAGCTAATCTCCACTCTGTTGCCCTTGGGCCTCCTTCTCTCCCCCACCCTCAACCCCCATCATTAAGCAGTAAGCATTCTTGATGTTGCCACAGTACATGCTTGACGTCCCACCTGTACTCTGAGCTTCAGCCTTTTTTTGGTCCTGTACCATCTGCCTTCAGTCTCTTAGGCATTCCTAGTTTTGGGGCTGATAAGAATCTCTCCTCTGATTTTTTGAGTGTTGCTGTATATGCACAGCTCTCTTCCTCCTTCCCCATCTCTCCCTTTCTCCCTTCCTCTTTCCTCTTTCCCCTCCCTTACTTTATGTCATCATTTCATGATTTAGCAGGAAGAAGAGATAGCAGTGTGGGCTTTAGCTGACCGTCTTGAAACTAGAAGTGAATGTGTTTATCCAGCCTCTGTGTATGCCATATCCTCTGATTAGAATGCTCCTCTGCACACCCGCTATCCTACCTGCATAGCAAATTCATACTTATTCTTTAAATCATTACCTCTTCTGTGAAACCTTCCATAATCTGCCCGTGGGGGTGGGGGTGGGGGGGACGGGGACAGAAGGAAGATACTCTGTTCCCATGGTGATTTTGTACACCTTTATTTTACTACTTATATGTTATAATTGTTTGCAGTCATGTCTGTCTTGGCTCAGTTGACTGTGAGCTGCTTTTATCAGTGTGTCCTTATCCTTAGTATGTGATTTGTGGTAGGTACTTAATAAACATTTGTTCAATGAGGGATTGGATGGTTTTATGAATGACATACATACATGAAAAAAAATCAATTTCACTGATGAGGTGAAATTAATTTATGATTTAAGATGTGATCACAAAATGATTACAAAGCTAAATCTGGCTATTCAACTCAAGGACATTTAGTGTTCCTCCCATCCCCCACCAGTCCCTTTTGCAATACATGAAACTGCAGGGTATTCTCCTCGTAACTCCTCTCCTGGTCTCTTTTGAGAATTAGTTCAGCAAACACAATGTCTCATCTCTTTCCTTTGTTACCCATGTTTTGACAAGCTTGACTGTGTATATCTTCATCATTTTTGGCTCTGAATAGGTTTTTGACTTTTACTAAATGTTGAATCTATCTTTAAAGTAGAAACATTTTTCCAGACATGCCCAGGGTGTATTCATAGCCTTCAGCTCCTGAAAGCTGACATCCCGTCTTCTTATCTTTTTGAAGCTCTGATAGAGTCTAGTACATTGCAGGCTAGTATTCTTAGAAGGATTTCTAACAGTTTCAAGCATTGGCAACATTGTAAGGCTCACCCTACAGGTTCTCAAAGCCACTGCTTTGAAAGAGATGCCTTTCATTTAAATTCCAGAGTTACATTGTGTTTGCTTTAAAATAATAGACGTTTTGTGGTACCACCTTAAAAGACAACATATATGGAAAGAAAAATAAAACCACAGTGTTAACTAGAAGCATAATACTCTGATTCACAGGTCCCTGTGACCCTGAGGTAGGCACATAGGAGTGAGATCCTAAAGAAGGCACCACAGTTTAAAATTATTTGGGGCCCTCTGATTGATCCTGATGAAATGCTCACTGAAGGGTTATTGAATCCACATGTGTTTTGTTGATTCGCCTACCCGACACATCATGACTAGGCATTCTCCCTTTTGGGTTTGTGTAAAGAAAAATGTCTTCTGTGACACAGAGGCAATACAAAGATTGGATATAAGGAGGAACTTTTTAGGCATGTGTGTCAGTAAGATGCTTCTGGCCACTCACAAGGGAAAACCCCACTCAGCTGGATTAAACCTGATATGGTTGTATTTTCCCTCACATCAAGATAATTTGTTAAAGATTATTTTACATTGTGTTCACTTAATTTTTCACTTGAAACACTACTGACTTGGCTTGATTTTTGTGTAGAAATAAAGTTTAAGAAGATGACCTGCCTACCCACTCCTTTCCATCAACATAAGGAGAGCTTTGTAGACATAAGAAGGCCTCTGTCTTCAGAAAGTCAAAGGCACTGTTTATGAAGGCTTTGTAAAGAATGTGAAATACCATGAGTTATTTTTCAAAATAGGCTGAATACTGTATGAAAACTTGACTTGCTCCAAACCTAAAGTGATCTTAGAAAAAGTAAATGTAAAAACCCTGATTAAAATTTATGGCATAATTTAGAGAACCCAAGCTTAATTTTTAAATCATTGTATGTTTGAAATCTATACTTCTTTACTCAAACTAAATTTTTATTTTATTTTTTGATGTCCTTTTATCAGGTGGAGCAAGTAACAATTTTATTATTGTTTCTCCATCTCCAAAGCACAAGGAGACTTGGACAAGACACTTAACCTCTCTGAGCCTCAGTTTCCTTCTCTATAAAACAAGGGTGTGAATATATACATGGCTTCTGAGCTCTAAAATGCTCTCAGTGAAGCTAAAATGATCTAAGTCATGTATGTGGACTAATATCCTTGGCATACACCCTATATGGACTCATTTGTGCTCCATCCATATGCAGTTCTTTGGTAGGAAATTTGTTGTGTACGTGTATGCTGTGGAGAGTTGCCCAAATGCCCTTTCGGGGCCACTGTACTCCCTCAGTCACTGGGCTTGGCTGCTGATGACACACAACTGAGACCCTTTCCAGGCATTACCCTCTGCAGATGGAAGCTGGGGTTCCCAAGGTTAGGCCCCCTCCCCAGGGGCAGTTCTCCTCTAATTACTGGTGGATTAGGAATACAAAGGCCCAGCTGCCTTTCCCCAAATGGTGAACCACTCCAAGGGCCATCGAGGCTCTGGAGCCCCCTGCAGGATCAGCTGAGATCTCTGTTGCAACTACAATATATGGCATTTCTAATTTTCCCTCTGCCCAGTATGCATCCCTTCAGTCTTGCAGAGTTGTTTCCAAGGTCACCTCCAATAAACCCCTGTACACCAGTCTTTATCTCAGTCTGCTTCCCAGGGAAGCCAGCCTACAACAACATGCATTTCTAAAGATGTATTTACCCCCTTTGGACTTGGCTATTTTTGAACAATGCGTACCTGATGTTTTGGCATGAAACAAAATGAAGCTAGCTAACAAATACAGAGTTGACTGAACATACGAGTACATTTTTAGCCTTGTGAAGGAGTGTCTTTATAGAAGAGCTGATCTGCCACCTTCCCAGCCATAGATCTGTACATGGTACAACCATGAATCTTGGGACAGTTCACATTTTGAGTAAATACTTTTTATTCCTTTAGTTTTGTTTTGTTTTGTTTTTAATCTTGAAGAAAAAAGCCAAAGAGTGATTGAATTTGGCTTCTGCAGGTGAATGCTGTAGAGTTTAATAATTGAAATGTCTGGATTAATAACATACATTATATGAAATCTACAAAGAGAGTGGCAGTTGTGCAGCCTTGAAGAGTCAGGCCAAGTTGAGGATTTTATTAAAAGTATTAGGTCTATTCAAACTTAGCGAATATATTTTAAGTTTATTATAAAAAGAATAAAAATCAACCCACTGTTTTCCATGGTTTCTGTGGGCAGTCACGTTGTTAAATTTGTACTGATACTTAGGTTGTCAGGGTTGTGTAAAAGGAAGCCGACCTGCCATCACTGACTCATGGGTCTAATTAGTGTAATTGCCTTGGTAATATCCATTCACCTACTTTTAAATTCTTCTATTTTAAAAAACACTGTTTGCTTATTATTATTTATTTATTTATTTATTTATTTATTTATTTATTTATTTATTTATTTTTGCACTTAAAGCTTGTTTATTTCAGGGACCTTTCGATTATCATTGATACTTTCATTCAGAGTCTAGTGGATCATGGTTGTATTAAATGCCCTTGAACTGTGGTTTCTGGTATGAACTCTTAATTTGTTGTTTAATGCTCAGATGGTCTATGTATTTTTTTTTCCTTTGTTTTCTTTTTTTGCTGTTTAAATGCAAAGCTCTTTGTTGTTCACCTTCATTTTCTCAGAAGAATTACCTTGCACGTGCCCACTATGTACCTCCGACAGAGGGAGCTGTGTCAGTACGACCGAGGGAATCCAGCTTGCTAAGGAACTAGGAGCTACCTATCTGGAACTACACAGCCTTGATGACTTCTACATAGGAAAATATTTTGGAGGAGTGGTGAGTGGAAGTTGTTATTACATACATTAAAGTCATTTGTCTGCTTGGCTCGTTAGCTATGGTCCAGAGCCTCAATCAGAACTTTGGTTTTAAAAGCATGATTAGTTTTAGCCTTGAGAAATGACATGAGAGTAAGTAGAAAAAAGCTTTTGTTAGAATAAAATTTGATTTGATTTTTCTCTCCAGATGAAACGTTTTCTATTGTCTAGTGTGGTATTTTGGAATTTTCCACTTATTAGAGCATGTTTACTTACACAAACCCGTGATGTCAGTTTTCATGGTAATCTTTAAACAACTCAATGAACCTGGCAGCCTGAATGAGCGGGCCCTGAAAGCTCTCCTTTTCTATCTACCACTTGAAAAGAATCATTCTTCTCTATGTGTGTTTCGGCAAGATTTCATATACTTCTGATCTTGGTGTAGCTCAGAAAAATCCAGAGGCACTACTTACACAAATTGCTTCTCGTTGGACATGTAGGAAGCCAGGGTTTGTTGCTGCGTCGCAGTGGGCTCTGCAGGCATTTGAGCCCCATCTTGGCACCATCTTTCCAACCCTCTAAGAAGTGACTCCTTTCAACAGACATAGCTAGTAAATGTCAGTAAGAGGTTTAAACCAAGTAAACGCTACATTAAGCAGGAGCGCTTCGGACTTCTCCATCAGTTCCCTAGCTCTTCATCAAGTACCCTTTCCAATATGCAAGAGCATTCATTATGTCGATTCATGTTGAAATGTGAAGGTCTCCACAGATGACTATAGAAATTTCATTTGTTCTGGAGTTAACTAAACTCCAGATAAGAGCCAAAGATAAAATAACCATTAGGGAGATATACTCACAATATTGATATTATCAATGACTGAGACGCTTTTGTCTCATTTATTTATATGGATAAGCAGTGTGTAGAAAGAGAGAGAGAGGGGTGGAACCTAACTTTTCCTATCAAGCGGATTATATCGTAGGGGCTTAAAAAAAATCTTAATTAGTTTAAGACTCATATTTATCTAAAATGCCTAGGAAGTGTAGGACGAGGGGGAAAGATAGTTTTGTTTCACTTGTTGAAGGGGCTGGTTCGCTTGGGGGTCCTTAGGCCTGTTCTCCAGTCAGGTTCCTGAACCTGCAACACTCAGGATCACTCCTCCAACCTCCTAACGACCATGTACTCTCTTTCTCTTCTTTGTTTCTCTTTGCTCCTAATACCTAGTGTTGCAGTTAGGGGAGGAGGCATGATGAGGATCGAAGAGGTGGTCAACGTTGGGAGAAAAACACGGCGATTTCTTTTTTCCTTAACTCAAGACTTAATGAGAATGTGGAAATAAGATCAGAGTGATCTCTTTTGAGACTCTTTTGAAAAGTAAAGTACAATGAGATCTTGAGCATTAGAAATCAGGGTATTTGCAAAAATATGGAAGGAGATGATGTCATAGTGAGAAGAGCATTTAAAATCTTGTGTTTAAGCATCAGGGCTGAAGAACTGTGCAATGTTACCTTCAGACTGGGACTAGGGAGACACGGGCCCTCTAGTTGCACCCCTCTCCAGAGAGCACAAGATGATGGAGCCAAGGGGATGTGCCCACCAGAGCTGGTAGCCCCGTCTAGACCTGCAGCATCTACTATGGCAGCCAGTAGCCACATGTGGCTATTTATATTTAAATTAATAAAAAAGTTAAGTTCCTCAGGTGCATTAGCCACATTTCAGGCACACATTTCAATAGCCACATGTGGTTCGTGGCTACTGTATTGATTAGCACAGACATTACAGAACATTTCCATCAACACAGAACAGAGCTGTATTGAACAGTGGTGTGACCATGCTCCAAAGCCCAAGCCCTGGGGATTCTCTGGGTGGCTGGCCCTGGGTCTGCTTCCCAGGCCTGTGCAGGCCTCTTTCCTGGCTCCATCCTCCTGAAGGTGGAGCGCATTGCTGGGGTATGCACCATAGACCTGAGAGGTGCCTGAGGGATGAGAAGAGAAGGGGCGGTCTTGGGGCCCTGGAGCTAGGGTCCAGCTCCCCCAGGACTGCATGGAGAGCTGGGAGCCTGAGAATTTAAATCTGAACCTGGCCTTCCAGGCTTTTAGGATGATATATTTGTCAAAGCAGGCAGATAGAGTATCTTTTACATACCTTTTTCTTGATTGATATGGTTTAAATATTGAGGTATGTGGTAGCTGAACCTCCATTTGTACTTTTGCCTCACAATGTATAGAACAGGCCTCAGCTTCACACATGGTTAAGATTTTTAATTTATAAAATGAAGGATATATTTCAATGTTTTTTATTCAGGAAGAAGAATAGAGCAATGTGAACTTCCCCAGTTGATATGAGCATATGTGTCATAGAGCCAGATCTGTTCTTCCCTTGACTAACTTGCTGTGGTTGCCCACGAGGTGCTTATTGAAACACACAGTTGTATTGCTTGGCTTTCTTGATGACTCAAGAAAATAAACAGATCCTTCTTGAATGGATCGTTTATTTATGTTTAGACAAGGCACAATCTGTTCTACTTGAAAAAAAAAATTTTTTTAAGAGTGTTTGCCAAAGCTTACATGTAGATGGTACTGGCATTAAAAACATTTGGCCAATGTGATTTGGGGTACCAATAATCATGTCAGATACATAATTTTGTTGGAGCTTTAATTAAAACTTGATTCATGTTTTAGTTGGAGTATTTTATGATTCAAGCCTTAAATCAGAAGACAAGTGAAAAAATGAAGAAAAGAAAAATGAGCAGCTCATTTCATGGAATTCGACCACCTCAGCTTGAACAACCAGGTGCATTATTAGCCAATGTCTAGACATGCAGTTGATACCTGTTATAGATCATTTCCCAAGTTGTAGAGCCATTGTTCTCGTATATGAGTATGTTTAGGACTCACCTGGCATCCTGATTTAGTAAATCTGTGATGGAGCCTGTAATCTGCTTTTGAAAGAAGCTCCCCAGGTAATTCTAAAGCAGGTGGAACTTGAACCAGATTTTCAGGACTACTGTCTTAATAAGTTGAACCTGTAGATTCTTACAATCGTGTGTATTGTGGAGAGCTGTTCTAGATTGTAGTCTAATGAGAAATAACAACCAAATGCAATGCATGAAGTCTGATTGGATACTGGTTCAATAAAAACATCTAAAAGATGATCTAGGGACAATTGGGTAAAATTTTAATATTGACTGAAAACTAGATGACATTATGGAATTATCGTTAATTTCTTTATGTATTGTAATGCTATTTCAGTTAATAGAAGAATATCCTTATTCTTAGGAGGTGAATGTGAAAGTATAATAATTGCACAATTTAAGGGGAGGATATATATGTGTTCATTGTGTCATTCTTTCCATTTTTTTGAGTGTTTGAAAATGTTTATAATGTTAGAAGAAAATAGTTAAAAATTAATAAAATTACATCAACTACTAGGATTTTTTGTATAATTTTGTACAAAATTATAGTAGTGGAGTAGTACTCTATTCAGATCAATTTGTTATGGATATTGCTTTAAAAAGTAGGTACTTCATAAGTATTTGATGATGAATGAATGAATGAATGAAAATTAAAAATCAGGAAAATATAAATTAGTATGAGAAGTCAATTCCAGGTTTTTGTTTTTGTTTTTTTTAAAAATGCAGGTATATAGACCATAAATGATACCCACTTGGCTTTGAACTTCCTGGTGTACAACGTGAAAGGAGAGACATGGTCTGTTATGTAGCAAAAACTGGGGACTTAAATACTTCCAGGATGAAAGGGTGGGTCGGGAGTAGCCAAATAAATAATGCAGATAGATAATTTCTTAGTTTCTATTAATCAAGAAGAGAAAACATACCAGCTCTTCAGAGAAAGCAAAGTGTTTCATGTCATTTAGCACTAGCAGAAGTTTCTCCGCGGGTGTACATTTGGGGGTACCGTGATATCGTGATAATTGGTGATACCGTGGCCGGGGCCTTCAAACGTGGCCCATCCACAAATGGAGTCTCAACTTTCACAAGGCTGTATCTTGTACTTTTCTGTTAGGAGAGCTGTGTGTATCACACTGAACATCACCCAGGAGGTCAGGACGGTACAGGGCTGCGTATACATTCATTCTGGGTCTGACTTGTCCTAAGGACAGATCCTGGGCTCGTGGGCATGAGGCTTTTCGACTGTTCTCAGCCTATAAGTGTCTGTGAAGGTGCCTCACATAGTGGAGAGGACGATGGGTGGGGTTCAGTGCAGAAAAACCCTGGCCCCAAATTACCTCGTTATTGTTCATTTTATAGACCGGACTTTTTGGCTTTAGAATAAAGAATTTGCATTGCTAAAGAAGTTTGAAACTCACTGATTTAGGTGACTGCATATCCTGTAAGCAACCCTTCAAAGATGATAACACTTTCCTCAGCCCAGCTTTGGATAAAAGTTAGCAGACATTTTACAGTTAGGGTCTATGATGAGGGCCTATACTGTGGTTCTCTGTGTAGCTATTTTGAATTGGTTGAAGCCTAGTCTATATTGTTAGTGATCAAACTAGGAAATGGAAGGTTGCATCCTCTTTTGGAAATTAGGGAGCCTGGACAACACTACCTGAAGAGTGCTGAGGAGACAAAGCTGGTTCTGGGAAAGCATATAGTTTTATGCTAATTTTAGGATCAAAATATGATGGTCAAGATGGTTTCAAACAATAGAGTTCAAGACTCTGAGCCCTGGCTTTGAGAAGTGGCATTTTTAACAGTTGATCCCTCCACCTCCACTTCCAGTCCCAGGAGGAAAAGGTCTTCAGATGTGCGGTTGGGTTCGTCAGAACTTATTCAGAAATTTGTTGGAATTTTTTAATCAGGCGACAGTAAATAACGATGACTACCAGCATACTAAACGTCAGTATCTGGAAGACCGTTTTATTTGGGGACATAGAAATAATGAGAAATGTTATTTTATTGCTCATTATGGCATTAGTAGGTTTTTCATTTGCACAAGAAAAAATAAATACAGCATTTCTGTGTGTCCATGTTAGGAAACCCTGTAATTCCTGGATAATTAGTTTATATATGTTTTGTTTATATATGTTTTTCATTAGGCTAAACTGTATACAGTTGCTGTTTTTGTAGGTCAAAAATGGCCAAATGTTGGCAATTTCATGTGGCTTAACCTAATAGCATTAAAAAATATTGTTTTATTGTATTTAACGTAAACCTGAAACCATTGGGTCTATAGACCTAAAGAGTAATTTACTTTTATTTTCTTTTTTTGAAACAGAAAAAATGCCCGTCTTGAAGGCTGAAGCATCACATTATAACTCCGACTTAAATAATTTGCTGTTTTGCTGCCAGTGTGTGGACGTGGTATTTTACAACCCAGATTTAAAGGAGGTTGTAGAGGCCCACAAGATCGTTCTGTGCGCCGTCAGCCATGTTTTTATGCTACTTTTCAACGTGAAGAGCCCGGCTGACATTCAGGATTCCAGTATCATCCGAACTACCCAGGATCTCTTTGCTATAAACAGAGATACTGTGTTTCCAGGTGCTAGCCAGGATTCTCCAGGCAACCCACCATTACGAGTCGTCGTTAAAGATGCCCTCTTCTGTTCATGTTTATCGGACATTCTGCGCTTCATTTATTCAGGTACCTGTTCAAATGGTTCTGAGACATTCTCTTAAGCTTTTGAAATGAGGTATGCCTGTGGTCCTAGATGTGTTTGTTAGTTTTACATTAATCCTCTTTCTGTCATCTGAAGTGAAGATTATATAATACATGAAATAGTGTTTGCTTTGTGTATAGGCATTGGTCCAAGCTTTCCATCTTCTTTACAAATTTACTTGCCTTGGTTTTAAATCTACTTGTAAAGACAATAATCTCTTTTCCTACTGAGGAAGAAATACCTAAAATATGAAAATACAAGAATTTATTATCCAGTTTAACTTGAAAGAAAGAAAATTTTCCAGGTGTATATGAAAATAAGTGCCTATGTCTTTTAAAACCTAGCCATATATTCTCTTTTCTGTTTGACACTTCAATTTTGGAAGGAGTTGAAGAGAGAAAATTAGCAGGGTCATTGCATTCAATGTAGGAACTGGGAACAGTATCTAAAGGTAGTTTAGGCTGAGATCTGATCAGCTTTGGCTATGACTATTTCAGATTTTGTTTTTTCTAACTGTACTCTTTATGATTCACCTTATCCATTATTTTTCTCCTTGTCCTTTTAAAAACTCAGTAGCAACTATGTTTTAAAGAACAGAAGTTTTAGCGGAGTCATTTTAGCTAATGAATTAAAGGTCTTACATCTAAGTATCCCATATAAGAATGAAAAAAAAAAGAATGTAAAATAGTTTTTTAAGGAAGCATCTTAAATATACAATTCCTGAGAACTTCTTTGTTTTTTAATTTTGTTTTTTTCCACTTGGAATCATGTGCTGAGGAAATACTAGGTTAAGGTCACTCCTCTCTGGGATGTGTCTAGAGAAACATTTATAATCTGTTTTTAGACTTCAGAATTGGGGACAGATAAGAAATTTATAAAGGTTTGCAAATAAAGAAAAGACTTATCATTTCCTATAGGTAAGAAAGTTTGGGGTAACCTTCAGTTGAAACGATTGATGCTAAAAATAAGATTTTCCTTTTTTTCATTTGGGTTGTGGTTATATAATTTTATAAGTTAAAAATTAATGGTTGTGAAAAGTACAGTTGCAACATGTGGATTTAAGTGGGTTAAAATATATATTTAAGAGTAGAATATAGTGGTAGGTGTGAAACCCATTGTCAGTGAATGTTGGCTTGGAAAAGGCACAAATGGCCACTCCTCAGGGCACACCAGCACAGTGCCCTAAACATGGCAGGTCCTCTGTTAGTGTCACTTAAATTAATGAGTAGACTCTAGTAGCTGCAAATCATCATATGAGTAAACCAGACTAAAGATTTCATGTAGTACTCTAGATTGTTATATTTAAACCTAGAATCTCACAGATCAGGATGTAAGACTAATTTTGAAAAACCAAAATGTTTTCATGTTAAAAGAAAAAAAAATGACTTTAATGATATGTTTAGAGAACAATGAAGGAAGTGTTTGGCTTTTCTTTTCAATGACTTTACTGTTGAAATTATGAATTATTTAGCAAGTTTCCCACAAAATCCATTGAATACTTTCAAAGGCACATGAACACGTTGAGGTCAGTTATAGCCTCTTTAGTATTGTAGTAGTAAAATTGCTGGATGTCTCTCCAGTTTCAGGACCTACTTGTCTCTCTCGTAGGGAATGATTTTTAAATTGCAAAGTTAATACATGCAGATGAAAAAAAGGGAAAAAGAAAAGAAAAAGTTCTCATCCTCCAGTGTCCTTCCCCAAAGTCAATGACCTGTTATCATTTTTTTATATGTTCATTCTAATGCTATTTGAAAGATATTAAATATTGGGAAATTTGCATCCATGAACATGTAGTCTTTGGTAACTGCTGTTTTCGGGAACCACAGGTAGTTCCCCACGGCTGGAGCACGGAGTGGGAGGTGATGGCTGGAAGGAGATGAGGCTGGCGAGCCTGGTGGAAGCTGTTCCTGCCATTCTTATAAACTGCTCTAGAATTCTAAGCATGATCAGACTGGGCCTTAGAAAATTCATCTCTGTGATGGCAGGAGGAATGAATAGAGTAGACAAGACAGGAGTCCAATTAGGAAGCCCCCTCCCCTTGCGATCAGGCAGAAAGGCCAACATTCTGACAACAGGTGGTCAGTGTTGCAGTTTGTCCATCATCTGGGCCAGTGCTATTCATACCTGAAAGTGCATTTGAGTCCCCTGGGGATCTTGTTAATGTGCAGATTCCCATTCAGGAGGTATGAGATTCTGCATTTCCAATAGCCTCCCAGGCAGTGCTGATGCTCTGGACCAGCAGTTGCAACACCTGCTCTTGGAAGAACTGAGTACCAGCCACAGCCAGGGGGTAAGGACCTGGAATTGATACCATAGGCCCAGGAGAGGAGCCCAGTTCTCAGTCTTAGGGCACAAAGAGCCAGCCTTGCAGCTGACTGATGCAGAGCTATTTGGTGCTGGGGTTGTCAGTGCTCTGTTGTACCCTCTGCCTGAAGGTGGCGAAAGTGGAGGCTTAGAGTTGAGGTGGACACTAAGTGAGCCTGGGAATAGCGATTAGAGGGCGAAGGGGCATGATGGCAAGGAGCACTTGCTGATATGCAAGCCCTTCACGGGCTCAGAGCTCAGGCTTCTTAATCTGACACTGATCTCTCCTTGTATGTCATGGCCCAGCAGAGGTGGTGTCAGGTATGAGCAGAGCCACACGCCGTTGCGCTGGGGCTGCAGGGAAACCCTGATGCTGGTTGAGGAGAAGGGAAAATAAATGCTTCAGTAGGCACCTATGAATTTTTCTTTAATTATTTACAGAGTATAACTTCAGACTCAAGCAGAAGTTATGTTATGTTGTAAGTTCTTTTTAAAAAGATATTAAAGCTGTATTTGCACAGTCAAGATTATTTTAAAAAATACAGAATATTTATTAAGAGAAAAAAAATCAACCAGATCCTCACTCTCAAATGTTGAAACCTTTATTCATGTTTTGTTTTACCCTCTAGTGTTTGTTCGTAAATTGGTTACTGCTTTTTTAAAAATATTTTTTATCAAATCAAAAAATTTCAACCTACATTTTCTTTTTCTTAGAGATTTCAGTAAAGAGGCCAGATTCGTGGGCTTTTTCTTTTTTCTTTTCTTTTCTTGGCATTGTTGAACGTGTGAAAACTTTTGAACAGAGCACAGGTTTGAAGACTCAATTACGTAATGGTTTCCTCCCAGAAGCCTGGCCTACCCACAGTTTATGTTAGAGGACTGTCAGGACGGGCTGTTTCTGCTCACATGAACTCCGTGGCGTGGCACACTCAGGAATACTTGCCCTGAGCAAACACAGGCTGAAAAGCCATAGTAAACCTAACTCCTGCCTTAAAAAAAAAAAAAAAAAAAAGAAAAAAAAAAAAGAACCAAATTACAAAGAATGTCTTAATTGTTTTTTAAATAACATACTTTTTTTAATCTTTAGGAAATGGAAATTTTGTATATAGGACAATTGGGTCTTGTAGTTAGGAAGGGCCTGTTCAGTAGTCCGGTTAACTCGCTACACCTGCTTATAGGGTTTCAGTTTATTTTCCTATTCAAATTTCTGAGTGGACACTGAAAGTATGTCTGTTTTGTATATGTTAATTTTCCACTGGATAACAGGTAACGCCGCATGATGTATAAATATTTAATGACGAACACTAAATAAGGAGTCATCTCTGAAAAGTGAGGGTAGCAGTTTCCCAGCCTTCCTGGAGTCATCCTTAAATGGCAAACGATTGTAACATTCTTACACTACTCGATGCTTGCACATTCCTGAGACACAGGATCTCAGATGGTTAGGAATTGGAATATTTGTAAAAACCTCAAGAATTTAGCTTTGCGCTCTTCCTGCCGCAGATGGCCTTTAGAATTTCACACCACTTATTGAAATGTGGCCAGGGTAAAAGTGCACATTCATCTTCAGTTTCCACAGTGTTCTCTAGCTCTGGGAATTACTCGGCGGCCTGCTCTTTTCTGTACTGCATAAAAACTCAGCTTAGAGGGCCGGCCGAGTGGCTCAGTTGGTTAAGAGCTCGCTCAAGAGTTTGAGCTCTGAGCAACAGCGGTTCGAGTCTAGCCCGAGCTGAGCAGCCGCTGAGCTGCCAACAGGTAGCAGGATGGCTCAGCTTAAAAAAAAAACAAAAAAAAACTCAGCTTAGGACACACGAGTTTACCATGCTCTCTAACAGTCTGTAAAGTAAATAAATGCTCTGAGAAATAAAGAAAATCCCAGTCAGTGATGCAAGTCAGATAAGTTCTAGAGATCTGCTGTACATACATAATGCCTATTGTTAACAATACTGTATTAAAAACTTAAAATTTTGTGAAGAGGAGAGTTCATAAAAAATGGTCTTAACACAATAAAAAAAGAAAGAAAAGAAAAATAAAAAAGGAAATCCCAGTCTAAGGGTTATTGTTTGATTAGTATCTAAAGGTTTCGTTGAGATCACTTGATTAGCATTTCTAATTATGAAAACAACCCGATCGTTGGAGTGCCCTTAGAAAGTAGTCTTACTTTTATTTTTAGTTATTGGATTTTTCTCTGCCCTCAAACAGATCACTGGCCTGGTAGGGATTTACCATATAAGTATTGATGCTTGCTTTCTTTCAAGTAATCTTCTGAATGGAGATATTATATAGGTGTTCTTTAGTTAATATAAGTTACTTTTAAAAGACAGTGTCTGTGGTCTCCTTTAACATACATGAGTGTAGACCATTAAAAATACCGAATCCTACTGTTTGCTGCATACCGCTAACCCTGGGTTTTGATAATGGATGAAATATCTAAGGGAAGAGGAGTGGTCATCAGCACTCAGTGCACATTAGAATAACCTAGGAGGCTTTTAAAGTTGATACCTAAGCCCCAGCACCAGAAATTTTAATTCAGTTGGTCTGAAGATGAGACCTCCCCTGATAGTATTTTATAAAAGTTCTCCAGGTAGGTAACTGTAATGCACAGCAAGAGCTGAGAATCACAGGCATGGAGTAAATTGCCTTTTTTTTTTTTAATTAAAGTTTATTAGGGTGACAGTTGTTAGCCAAGTTACATAGATTTCAGGTGTAGAATTCTGTAATACATCATCTATATGTCACATTGTGTGTTCATCACCCAGAGTCAGTTCTCCTTCCAGCACCATATATTTGACCCCCTTTACCCTCTTCTACCACTCCCCTCCCTCCTTACCCTCTGGTAACCACTAAACTATTGTCTGTGTCTATGAGTTTCGTTTCTTCATTTGTTGTTCTTTTGCTGTTTAGAGTTTTATATACCACATATCTGTGACATAATATGGTTCTTGACTTTTTTCTGTCTGACTTATTTTGCTTAGCATTATGATCTCTTAATGTGGTGTCCCTTGGCTTCCAAAGAGTTCTTCTACTCCTGGCAGTTTTATATAGAGTTCACTGTCTGTGTGTGCATGTGAAATTTTCTGGAGAGACAATCCAAAGAATTCATCAGATTGTGAAAAGTGTACGTGACCTTAAAGTTAAAAATCATTAGTGCTGAAAGAGGAAAACAAAAACTATAGACTGCACACATGTGGGAATTTGAGGTGGTAGAAGGGGAGCTAACAGTGAAGTCAGAAAAAGAGCGATTGAAGGCGGAAGACTCCTGGCGTGCTGGCACTAGCTGGCACCAGCTCGTGAGAACTGATGGTATTTATTTCCATTTACATGTTCTGCAATGCCTTGTTGGTAGCTTGAATTTGGCCCTGGTGGGAGTCCTCATGCCATAGAAATAACAAATGCCTCAAATCAGGGCTCTCCTTCCTCTTCCTTGTCCCTCCAGGATACACTGTAGTTATCATGAAGGTCAGGGGAGAAGTTTAAAGATAATGCAAGATTGCCCAGTGCTGCAGAGCTCCACTGTCATGAGGCCTGAGAGCCGCTGGACTATTAGTCTGACTTTATTTATTTATTTTATTTTTTTTTAAAGATTTTTATTGGGGAATTGGGGGAAGGGAACAGATAAGTTGCTGTCGTTTTGTTCTTCAGTCTAGTTGTGGAGGACGTTGCTTCACTGGCCCAAGTTGGCACCATCATTGCGCTCTTCCCAGGCAAGGCAGATCAGTCGCCGGCTTCTGGATGGCCGCTCACGCTGACTGCTGGCTACATACGGTAGCCCATGGCAACCCACTGCAGCAGGGGCTGCAGCCTACGCCATCGCGGGTAACTCAGGGCAGCCCAGCTCCAGGTTGAGCTGTTGTTCAGCATCTTAGCTGTGGAGGGCAGTGTCACTGGCCTTCATATGTGGGATCCGAACCAGGGCCCTCTGGCGTCCCAAGCCAGTTCTTAACCATCGCGCCACTTGGCTGGCCCAAGTAGTCTGACTTTAGATTAGCTTTGGACCTTGTTGGTGCAGACTGGCTGCAATTGTCTGATTTCATGGGTTCAGTACATGATTATTATGTGCCCTCTCCACTGCCCAATATCCATGAAGGCATCTAAGAAAGTTCTGGATACATGAAGGGAAACATCAGAAGAGATTGACAGCAGATAGAAAAAAACCCCAAGTTACCCAGAGAGGTGAAGTGATTTGCTTAAAGTCAAAGCAGTAATTAATGGCAGAGATGAAACTAGAACCTGCCCTCTCCATTATGCCCACCCACATTATACCTTTTTGAATTCTACTTTTAGGAGTTAGAACTTTCTGTAAACCATGGGATGAATGGGGGTGATCTCTTAGAATGTCGTGATCACAACTGTACTTTTGGAAATGTATCAGCATTGAGTAATAGGACAGATTTGATAAGGAAAAGGCCACTAGGGTATAGGAAGGCTGCTGTAGGCCAAATGAGAGGTGTGCTTGGGGAAAAGGTTAACTTTTGCTGACCATAGAATAGGAACTCATAAGACAAAGGAGAAGGGGCTGACAGAGTGTGAGACAGAAGTAAGTGAGCCTAGGAACAGAGCTTGGAAGTGGGTTGAGATGGAGACAAGGGGAGGGAGGGACCAGGTAGGGTGATTAGACTCCAATGCCACGGTCGTGTAGCTCATCAGAAAATTACCTAGCTCCCTTCTTCAGGTTGGTTCTGTAGAGATGGCTGTGAAACATATCCTAATGTGACCCTGACAATAATGCATGGAACCTTCTGAATGTATGCTGTTCCTACTGCCCGTTCCTCCACCTAATGGTAGTCTCTGCTCTCCATGCTTAGTACGATTTAATTCAACCTTAGGAAAGACCACATCTGCCTTACCCAGGCTAAGTAAATAATGTGGGCGTTGGACCATTTGTGATGCCAACTCATATTCTGACCATTGCTGATGTCACTAGCTGACCACCTACTGCAGAGAAGTGGCAGCTGTCTAAGGAGGAAGACTTCAGGTTTTGAATAATTTAGAGGAAAGCAAACTGATTTTTTTTTTAATGTGGAAGCTGTTTAAATGTTTTAGTGTAATTACAAGGATATGTATTTGGCGAAGAAAAATTAGGATACTGAAAAAGAGGGAACACTGATATCTAATAAGAGATTTATTTGTTTTCCTACTTCAGCGGAATAATCCGGTATGTGTTAATTTGTTTACAGGTGCTTTCCAGTGGGAAGAATTGGAAGAAGATATCAGGAAGAAGTTGAAAGATTCTGGGGATGTTTCAAATGTAATTGAGAAAGTTAAATGCATTTTAAAAACACCAGGAAAGGTAAGTTAGTTTACTTTGACGTTCTCTGAATTACAAAGTGATACACTATGATGAATAGTATAATACGAAGTCATGAGAAGACTCAATAATATACAAATATGGTTTCCCTAAGTATATTTTTGTCATTTAAATATTTTAAATGTAAACACATTTTTTCTCACTATCTCAGATTTTAATTCACCTAAGAGTTAAAATATGTGTAAGTATGTTTTTAAAATGTAGCCTTGTGGATTCCATCCTCTGAAACATTCCCCTTGCTCTTCAGGAATATGCAGCCTATGTCAGGAATGAAGGATCGTTGAATTTGTCCAGCTACAGATATGCTTGTTGCAGAGGGATGCTTTCTCCTCAAAATTTAAGTCCAAGTGATTTTCAGGAACAAGGCAGCATCTGTGTGCGCCTCTTTTAAGAGTTGTGAGAAATCTGACGAAGTGAACAGTTAAGGGTTTATTTTTCACCTAATATAGGTTCAAAAGTGTAAGTTAGATTCAAAGCTTATTTATAATACAGACTTTCTGTATGGTCATAAACTTGTACATGTTAAAACTCTATAGTCGTTTAGATTGTACAGAGTCTGTAAGTAAATGTGTTACGTTTTAAAACAAGTCCATTACACAATTTAGCTAGTGTATTCTTATTTCAGATTCTGTGATAAACAAATTGGCTACAGTAGATAAAAAGGTAAGTTATGTTCAACACTTAGGTTTATATAAAATGTAAGAAAAAATTTTATTCATTTAATTTTTTTATACAGATGACTTTGTCAATTGTACAACCTAAGTCAACATTTATGTTCACATTTTTAAAAAGTGAAACTGTGCTAGCTTGTAATGAAGATTCCCAACTATTCTATAATGTGAAAATTGACTCTTTTTTTTTTTTTAACAAAGTAGTAATCCCAAACATGGAATTCAGGGGCAAGACCTTTCTTCTCTTGTTTCAATAACACATTGAAGTAGGTATACAGAGCTGTCCAGTTTACAGGTGTATGGCAGGGCGGTAGCTCTCTTGCAGTCTAGTTCAACAAAATAATGCTTTTGTAGAAATGTTCACATAAACCTGCATTCTGTTTTTTAAAAGTTCTCTAGATTATGGACCAGTGAAAATGTACATCATGTACATGTGTGTTCTCTCCAAACTTCTGCCCTCGCATTCAAGGCATAGGTGACAACGGAATCTGTGTGGTGTGTGTGTGTGTGTGTGTGGGTGTGTGTCTCTTCATAGATAATATATATCTACGCAGCATTCATAATATTCAAATGCATAATCTTTATAAGAATGGTTAGGATAAAAGTGTTGCCTTTTGTTCTAAGCTTGAGCCTTTCCTTGGGTTTGAGTCTGAACAGCCATTCCTTTGAGAACTGAGAATAAAATGAATTCTTGCTGGTGAAGGAGAGGCTGGGGACTGTGTAAGTCCATGATATTGAACTAAACTCCTTCCTTTGCATGGGAGGAGAGAAGAGCTCTTCTGTGCTTTCTTCCTGTGCTTTTCTGGGGTAAGGGTCTCTGTCATTCATTGAGCGTGACATGCGGATGTAACACTGAATTGGGAATCAGGAAATGCACATATAAGTTGTGCCTCCCCGAATTCTCTCTGTGACTTTGAGCAAGCCTTCTCAGTGCTCTCAATGAGGAATAAACTGGATGATTTCTAAAGCCCCTGCTAGCTCTCAGATTCTGTGATGCTTTTTGACTGTGACTCTTTTTAATATGTGACAGTCACCTGACTCCTCTCCACCCATTTCTTCAATGCATATTAAGGTGGGCTGTGTATGGGATCTGATGTACTTTAAAAGACAGAATTTGTATATTCCTGTTTTGCTTCTCTGTCTTGCTCATGGATAGCATTCCGGAGTGTTTTCTTCTTCCTTGTGAGGAGGAAGAAGAAATTTTTTTCCCCTTCTCACCAAATATTTTAACTTTTCACCTTAGTAGATTAAGTCAGAGTGGGGGAATAGGTGACATTTATTCTCAATGCTAAAGTTGTATGTGTGATTGTTTTTAAGGGATAAATCTCTCTGTGTTCCCTAGCTTGGCAACCAAAGCTAAGAGTTGTGACCCAGGCTGGCCTTCTGAGACTCAGCAGGGGACATGGGCAGAGGGGGCAGGAAGAGGGGCTGGCCCTCAACCCTTGGGATGTCTGAAAGATGACAGGAATGATGACAAAGCACCAAATCCTGAGTTGGCAGCAGAGAAGTGATGGAGACCACTAGGTCACACAGCGGCTCTGTGACTGGAGGCTCGGCTAGAGCAGAAAGGTGTGAGAGGACAGAGAGGTGTTGGCATGGAAGATGTTCTCTGGAGCTCCAGACCAGAGATCCAGGCAATCTTTTAGCGATGCCAGCAGCCCCTACTGTGGGCGGGATTGATGTTTAGAACCACAGAATTGTAGAGTAGGTGGAGATGAACCAATTCATTACTCTCGGGTATTTTAATAGTGATCTAGTAAGCAGTAGGACATGGTATGATAAAGGGAAAATAGGTTGTTTTTTTTTCCCTTAATTACAAATTAAATTGTTATATATGTTCTTTCTTTCTTTTTTTTTTTTAAAGATTTTATTGGGGGACTGGGGAAGGGGAACAGCGTTGGGGAATTGGGGAAGGGGAACAGACAAGTTGCTGTCCTTTTGTTCTTCAGTCTGGCTGTGGAGGACATCGCTTCACTGGCCCATGTTGGTATTGTCATTGTGCTCTTTCCGGGTGAGGCAGTCACTTGCTGGCTACTGGACGGCTGCTCATGGCAGCTCTTGGCTGCCCACTCTGGCTGCCGGCCTCTCACGCCAGTTGCCAGCCACTCACTGTAGCTTATGGCAGCCCACTGCAGCCCCACTGCAGCCTACGCCGTCACAGCCCACCTCCAGGTCAAGCTGTTGTTCAGCATCTTAGCTGTAGAGGGCGCAGTGTTACTGGCCCTCATATGTGGGATCCGAACTGGGACCCTGCTGCTCAGAGCTGGTGTCCCAAGCCAACTCTTAACCTACGCGCCACTGGGCCAGCCCTGTATGTATTTTCTTAGTTAGTGAACAAATGAGCAGGTTGTACATGTAAACATAGGCATTCCTATGAGGTTGGACTGCTGTTGTCTGGTAACAGAGAGACCTAGATGGACTTGGGACCCCACAGCTTCTCGGCCATAGACTTGATTGTTTACTTAGCCAGGTCATTCACTGCTGTGAGTGCTGCAGAGTAAGTGTTGCTCATGACAGGTAGCAGATGTAGTTCTTGAGGGTAAGTTCCCATGAAAGCTATGATCAGAGATGCCAAAGAGTAAGTAAGCGTTATTTCTGTAGACATTTAGCACACTGTTCTGAATTTTCTAGCCAGCCCGTATATATTATTCAAGCTTTTTGTATAACATTTACCCTTGTATTTTTGTTTTTCTTTACAGATTAATTGCCTACGGAATTGCAAAACCTATCAAGCCAGAAAACCTCTGTGGTTTTATAATACTTCCCTCAAGTTTTTCCTTAATAAACCAATGCTTGCTGATGTTGTCTTCGAAATACAAGGTATGGTTCAATTTTTACAAAGTTCATTGTTCATTTTTATTGTTTTTTTATCTACCTTTCTATTTCAGCTTTGAATATTTTAGGTGTAGGAATGACTATTCTCTATTGCAGGATGTAAATTAATATTATCTGAATTTCAACAAAATCTTCCCGAAAAATGAAGTATTTTATTAAAACTAGAAAAGAAATTTATATTTTCCTTATTGTTTTTCCCCTTACCGTATGTTTCATTAACTTTTAGTGACCAACAAGAGGTGGGGTGATCTGTAATGTCACCCCATTAAGTATTTTTGTTGGTGTATTTCTTTAAGATCCTACTTTGTGAGTCCTCTGAAAGCAGCCCCCTTAAAATTATATTACCTCTAGCTTATTTTGTCCAGTTCTCTTCCATTTTATTAGAGCAAAAGGAACGAAGCATGGGTTGTGGGTCACGCGTGGCTTACATCAGGCATCTGCATTCATTCCTCCTACCACTCTGAGACGTAGCAGCAGAGCAGCTGAGAGCTGCTTTTTATCTCTGTAGGCAAGCAACGCTCCCTAATTTCAGTAAAGATGAGCTGCTTTAATGCCTGTTATTGATTATTCACTTGGGTAATTTTATCGCTCTGGTAGATTAAAAGCATAATCTTAAAAATGAATGGCAGATACCTTCAATTATGCAAGCAGGACAGGAGTTCAAATGAAATAAGTGAGCTAGTTCAGGTGAGCTAGTTCTAAAAGGAAGATATAATTCTATTTGATGGTAGAAATGTATGGCAGCTAACAGTCATTTACTTTTTAAAAATTTTCCCCAAAGGATTCATGTTACTTTTAACTTGGGCCACTTGCCAGGACAAATGGTGGATTGGAAACTTGCCAGAGTGCCTTTTGATATGCTGCTGTCAGCACTGTCTGCACTGTGAGCTTGGAGCACTGAGAGTGGGATAATACGAGTGACCTTGAAATACATAAAAACAATGATTTGGAAAAAAGAAAGCCTAACAAAAGACCAAATTTGCTTATTTGCATAAGACTTATTAACACCTGTTTATAATTCGCATAGGAGGCATTGACACCAAACATTATGTTAGTGTAACCTACTGAAAAGATTTTCAAAGGGAATATGCAACCCATGAAAATACAGAGGGTGCCCAAAAAAATGTATACACATTTTAAGAAAGGAAAAAACTATTAAAATTGTAATAATATATACTGATAACAAAAGATGACTACAGGTCACGTGTATACATTTTTTTTTGGCACCCCTGGTATATGTTATAGAGAAAAAGAAATAAGCAGCGATGTGGAGAATCCTTTCTCCTTGTAATTTCGTGCATTTCGAAAATTCCACAATGCCACCTACGAACCCTTTTGCAGGCACCTGTTCAGGCCCCTGTGCAGTGGATGGGTCCTGAAGGCCTTGTTTGTAGGCCTGTGTGTTGTCTGATCAGCAGCTGCTGTGGTGGTCTTCGTAGCCTCTCCAGCTCCAAGCCAAGGCCTCCCAGGGAGTCGCGAGCAAAGAAAAGCAGGGGTGGGTGGGAGCAGGGTCCAGCGACAGTTTCTCTGCCATCAGCTGGAGAAGAGACAAGCCCAGTTTCTGAAGAGTGTGGGAGGGCGGCTTCCAGTGTGGAGAAGGCAGCAGTTTGTCTCCTCCAGAGGAAGCCGAGCCTTCCATCTGAAGCCCCAGTTCGAGCTTTGGCTTTGCATGCCTACCAGTGTGTGCCCTTGGGCAAGTCAGGTCACATGTCTGGCCTTATGTCTCCTCATTTTCAAAGTGAAGACCATAAACTGTATAGATTCTAAAAAGGTCCTTTTTAGTGTTAAGCTTGATGAGGTGGTAGTGACAGGGACTAGAAAGGCCTAGAAAGATCTTGCTTGAATTTTTACTGTGATAGATTTGGCTGTGTTCCTTTACATTTCTGATCCTTTGTTTCCTTGCCTATAAAATGGGGATACTAATTTCTACCCAGTGAAGTGGCTGCAGGGATTGAGATGGTGTGTATAAAGGTGTATAGAGGCCTGAAGGATAGACCGCCTTCCTCCCCACTGCAGGGGCTGCCAGCACTGGTGGACTGATGCAGTGTTTCCTGCTGAACCCAGCGCCTCAGCAGGTCCTTCTTTGAAAAGGTTCCAGGCCACCATCATCAACTGGCTGGAGGTGACATGGGATTATTTACTATCCCTGCAGTAGATAGTCATCTAAAAAATACCACCCACAATTTGTTGTTTGGGTTTCTATCTTTTTCCATTAGATAATGGTTTTTAGAAGCTACTATAGCCATTCTAAAACTAGTCTTGGTAAATATTTAGACCTGCTATAGAAAGATAATGAGTTTCCATGTGACATTTGAATCAGCATCTCATGAAAATTATTTTTACATTCTGTCCTTGTTTACTACTTAAGTAGTACATATTCTAACTCTCTCTTGAACTAGGTAAGTTTACTATTTTCATAATAAAAACTATTTCTTAAAAAATCTTATTTTTAAAACTTGGCAAGTAGGGTGAAGAAGGTATGAGAAATATAGTCCTTATTTTAGTATATAATAAAACAAAGGTCTTTGATAACCTGTGCAAAATTACTAGAAAACTTGGGTTTTTAAATTTCGTTTCACTCTTAAAACTCTTTCTCTTAAAAACAGTTTCTTAAAGCTATAACAGCAATTAGATACTACAAAGGAAAGACACTTTGGGCCTTGACATTTTCAAGGAACACGTTTATCTTTTAACTAGAAAATTGATTTTTTTCGCTTCCTGAGTAATTCTTCAGCTCTATGTTGTGGCTTGCTGTTTAGTATATAAACACTGCATTATGATTATTCAGCGTGTTTCATACAGTGTTTGTATATTTATACAGTTTATATGCAGTGTTTACAAATATGGCTGCATTAGAGTTTCACAATAGAACAATTTATAACACCAAAACAGTAGTTTTAAAAGGTAAAAACCAGAAGTTGATGTTTTCTTAACTGGAGCTATAATGGCTTTCCACACTACATTCCAAGCTCAAAATTGGGTTGAAAATGCTAATTTAAGGTACTGTTTTGTTGCTGATTTTGTACCCACGTAATCAATGCAAAATTTGTTAAAATTCCAAGGTTGCTTATCAGATTCCTTCCCCATCTGCTTGGTATTATTGGCCAATCTTAGAAATTCCTCTGCTTAACCCAAATGATAGGTCATCTAGTTTATTTAAGTCGTGCTTCTAATTTTCCTTTTCTTTTTTTCATGGTACCTTGTTTAAGACTATCAACCTTAAAATTCTGAGTAAAATTGCATTACCTGTTTGAATTCTTTGTTAACTGCTGTATACAAATACATCTGGCATGCTCTGAGTATGGAAACTGGTCTTCCCATAGATGGACACTAACATCGAGGGCAGGTGGCCTAATGGCAGAGACACAGGGAGGGGAGCCCAGAGGGGAGCCTAGCAGGCGTGTGAGGACCTGCTCTCTGGCCCTTCCTCTCTGCTCCTGTGGGAGGTGTGCCTGTGCGAATCACAGTGCCAAGCAGTGAGCTCACAACTGACGATGCTGGGAGCTGCTTCTGAATCCTGAGGGATTATTGGCTTTGGAAAAGCCAGTTGGCTTAGGTGGAACTCTTTTCTTCTTTTCTGAGTCAGAAGATGTTTTGCTTGCAATTAAAGAGGGTGAGGAATCCAATAATTGTAAATACTTTAGAGAAAAATATATGCCCCCGAGAAGTATGAGATTTTAGGGATGCTTAGGTGAAGACACTTTGGCAGAGTAGGGTGGTTTGGCTCATCGAGTTACTTTCCAGAAGGTGACAGCTTTGTCAGTCACACTGGCTGTGGTATCTTCCTCCAAACTAAAAGCTTGACTACTCCTAAGCATGGTAGCTTTGTCTTTCTCCTCTTTGTATCTTCAATACTTAACACAATGATGAGTGCTCGATAATGACCTGTTGAACTGATCTAGACTGAACTGAATGCTGGCTGTGGATTCCTGGTTTCTAAAGGTGGTGGGAGTGATGAGAACTTCTCCAACCACAAGCCCCTAGTGACATGTGTCCCTCTTGGCAGTGCCTGAGTGTAGTGGCATAGTAGCTAGAGAAGCAAACTTTTACTAGAGAATCAGTTTAGTTTAATGAGCGTCAGTAAGGAGCATGGGCTGAGAGGCCTTTAAAATTTAAAGTAGCTCTGATTCTTGCAGAAGTAGGCATTGTTCATTTAGGAAAGAGAGGTTCCCTAAGGAGACAGTATGCTGGGAAACTGCAAGGGACTAAGCCATCCCTTTCCAAATGTTCCATAAGATCTGAAATGCTCCCTCTTGGCTCCATAAGAGATTCCCGTGGCATTTCTTCTGGGCTCTATGGACTGCTTAGGCCAGGGATGCTTTATTTCCTAGTTTCCCGTTTCTGATAAAGGAAAGCCTGGTCAGGACTGTTTTGTGAGTTGGCCAAGAAAGGCGAGGGTGTTGTTTTCCTGGGATGCACATGGGTAAGGTGTTGGGTGGTTGTATTTCAAGACCATTGGAAAGGATAAAAGGATGTTTCTTTATAAACACATGAAGCAAAATATTTCATTTCAGTGTTTGTACCTTCAGGAAATACGAACTAAGTAACAAATAATTGCCTGACTTGCCAATTGTTGGTTTCAAAGTCAACTTTTGAACTCTTTTTCAATTAAAAACTAAAAAGTCTCCGAATTAAGGCCAGTTATCACCCGAAAATTTGGATTCTGTATTTCATCTTAGCTGTGCCTAATGCAGTACCACTCTAATTAGAAGGAAACTTGCTAGAAGAAACTCTGCAGGCTTATCTTGCTTTGCTTTGTTTCCCTTTTGAACCTTGCAGGTTCAACGGTGCCAGCCCACAGGGCCATCCTGGTGGCCCGTTGTGAAGTGATGGCAGCCATGTTTAATGGGAATTACATGGAAGCAAAGAGTGTTCTGATTCCAGTTTATGGTGTTTCCAAAGAGACTTTCTTGTCATTCTTGGAATACTTATACACAGACTCTTGTTGCCCAGGTGAGCTCTCTCAATGTTAGATAATATGTCACAAGTCTTTCTTTTGATAAATTGCTTTCTGTAAAATCTGTCTTCACTTAAGGTATATCAGAGTTGACATCATGGAATGTGCTAAGCAGATTCATTGGAACAACAATGAATTTTCAGTCAATTCAAGTGGAAGAGCAGTGTTTGGGTACCTCTTATGGGCCCCCAGACTCTGACATAAGTTCACGTGTCCCAGCCGGCACCAACAGCATGATGGTCACTTTGGGTACCCTGGAAATGGAGGTGTCTTGTACCCAGTGGCTACCCCAATTCTACAGATTGGAGCAAAGAGCTGCTTGGAGCACTATCCCTTCCATGAGAAGAAGAGGGTTGGACAACTGTTTTTACAGCTCTGAATTCTGACTAAGGCACTTTGAAGGACTTTCACTATTCTGAGATGACCTCCTTGGTCATCTCTCGGGCTCAGAAGATGTGGGGATTTTTTAAGGCCCTCTTCTGAGTTCTCCTAAAGGGAGACTCTCCTAAAGCTAACTTCTCCAAAACTCATAAGATGTTTCGAATGCCCAGTAGACCGTATGACTTATTTCCCTTTTCACTGAACTAGGACTGTTCTTGACCAGGAACCAACCATCTGTGGCAGCTGCAGGTTGGAGCAGATATTGCAGGTTTTCAGTAGCTGGAGGCACCTTGGAGAAATTGGAAAATCCTTTCAATAGGCCTCAGAGCCTTGGGATGCAGGCACCATACCCTGCTTTGATTTTCTTCACTCTTTGGCCACCAGATGGCTCCCACCTCAAACAGCTAGAATAAGGCCCTGTGGCTTCATCCAAGAGCCTGAGACTTTGATTACAGAAACTGGCCAGACACCTTAGCAAATAAAACAAGAAAATACCTTTCAGGGCATACCTCCCTCCCTTCAAAGGGTTACTGCTGGATGTTTAGATTTGGAAGGCATCCTATGTTTGTTACTGAAATCTCTAAGTTTTGAACAAGTCAGGAGCCCTCTAGTCCAAGGTTTTAGAAGCACCAAAATAGAAATTCCCTTTTTAATTGAATTAATTGTGGTCTTGCAACTAGCTAGAGTATTTTGGAGCCAGTTACAGTTATTATTGTCAGTGCTAAAGACTGGGTTTTTCTTTTTTGCTTAATAAAAATGAAAGCATTGATTCTCATCAGAATAAGTATTGATGTTTATTTGATTATTTTATTACTGGCAAATCTGTCTTTTTTTTTTTTTTAACTGAGCCATCCTGCCACCTGTTGGCAGTTCAGTGGCAGCCCAGCTCAGGCCGGGAATCGAACC